TGTGGAAGGGAGAGGTCATTCTGTTTTTACTCACTTTCACTTTAATTGCAGATTGTTAGTGCAGGAATTCACACAAAGGGGTTATGTGAGTGTACCAAATGGCTTGAAATATTTCCCACTTCTCTGACTTCCCATGGGGAAAAAAAAAGCCACTAGGGTGCATTTGTGGCATTTCAGTCTGTTTGAGCCGCCTAATTGGGATTTAGAAGCTCTGAGCTGCCCTGGTTTACAGACGAGCATCCATAGACATTGGGGGACTCCTGTCTCTACTCGGACCCAGGCATACAGGAAAGTGTGCAGTAGATAAAACGCAGCCTGCGTGATGGCTGCTCACATGCAACTGTTTATATTTATTCTTCAAAAATGGTTTTACAAAGAAGATGATGAATCCGAAGCCACACATTTTCACCAGGAAGCCAAGCATTCTATGGGTTGGTCAAAACATACACAGGCGAAGTAAGTGTTCCCATCCCACATGTGAGACATGGGACAGAGGTGACTTTCCTGAGTCTTGGGCAGAAGCACCTACCTAATCACCCTGGCCCATCTGCCAGCGTCTCTTACTTATAAACACAGACCCTTTGTGATGCTAGGCATCGTTGAAAGTGTAGAGGAGGCTGGCTTGGGGAGCTTTATACTAGATTCAAGGAGTAAAAGCCTCGTGTGATTTGTAGTGGCTTTTCCTGCACAGCCACATCCATGTTCCCATGCGACTCTCGTTTGTGATGGGTTTTTAAACCAGTGTCTAACCCTGAATACGATGGGAACTAGACAGGGAAAAATGTCCATGTAATATATTGCTTGTTCATCCCTCCAATAGAGTGCTGGGCGATCTAGCTGGGGGCAGGCTGTGATTCCATTGGGTATGAGGGGGGCCTGGAAAGCTGCATTTCTAGAGAGACTCCCGTTACTAGTCACAGACCATAGTTAGAGTAGGAAGCATCCAGATTACTAGAGATTTGCCTTAGTTAGGGTTTCTATTGCTACAATAGAAACACCCTGACCAAAAGGCAAGTTGGGAAGGAAAGGGTTTATGTGGCTTACGCTTCAGCATTGCTGCTCATCACTGAAGGGAGTCAGGACAGGAACTCAAACAGGGCAGGATCCTGGAGGGGGGAGCTGATGCAGAGGCCGTGGAGGGTGCTGCTTACTGGCTTGCTCAGCTTACTTTCTTACAGAACCCAGGACCAGCAGCCCAGGGATGGCACCACCCACCATGGGCTGGGCCCTCCCCCACTGATCACTAATTGAGAAAATGCCTCACAGCTGGATCTCACTGAGGCATTTCCTCAACGGAGGCTCCTTCCTCTGATGACTCTAGCTTGTGTCCAGTTGACACACAAAACCAGCCAGTACAAGACTCCTCCTTCACCTTTTCAGGATCCCTGTGCAAACCTGTCACCGCGTCGGTCGCTTGGTGACTGACACAGTTGGAATACCCCTGTATCTATTGTATTTGGTTGCTTCACTTCTCAAATCTGTTCTAAGACGCTTGAGGAAATAGGCAGGTGTCTGGGCCTCTTAGAGATCACCTAAGTTGTCCCTTCCCAGAGCTCAGGCAGCCCCTTTGTTCTCATTGGCCACTGAACTGTAGTGAGGTAGTGTGCTGTTTGGGGAGATGCCCTGGGTAGGGTGAGTGTTCAAAGCACTCCTTGTATTCAAGAAGTGCTTTTGATTCTTTCTTTATAAGAAATGACAGCTGATTCCATCACGTCTGCTCCAGACCTTTAAGATCCAGGAGTTGGTTATCATCTCAATAAATTCTTACTGATTCAACCCAGTGGGAGCCTCTTTAAGAAGGTAGTCTGCTCCACGAGGAAGCCCTGCCGAACAGCTCAGATTCTGCTCCCACCTTGCTGTAAGAGCACGGTACCCAGTCCACAAGAAGGCCTTGATAGTGCAAGGCATACTGGCGTACAGCTGTAACAACTGCCCTAGGGAGACTGAGGCAGGAGTAGCTGAGGCCAGCCTGGGCTACATACTGATAGTCTGTCTCCAAAGGAAGGAAGGAAGGGGGGAGGGAGGGAGGGAGGAAAGGAGGAAATAAGGAAGGAAGCCAGCATGTCTTCATTAGTTTTAGCCTTCAGTATAATGAACTCTGAATGTGTGGCTGTTTGGGAGAGAGGGAAGTAACCATGAAAACTCATGCCTAGGTGCCAAGACCACAGGGCTCCGGCTAGACGAGACAGGAATTTACCCCAAACACCTAAAAATCAGCCTCCCCCACAAACAGGAAGTAGGAAGTGAATGTAAGAAATGAAGCCAAAGATAAAGTTGGAAGGCTGCCAAGGGAGCCAGGGGGACCCATTGTCAAGAAAATAAGTTGTGACTAGAAACAGCGCAGAGAATTTGTAAGGGTACGGCACAGATGTTTCTGGATGTAGGAGATGAACAGACACTGCAGGAGTGTGGGGATGGTATTGTGGCTACATTAAAGAAACTGCTCAAAACTGGCCAGAGAATATAACATGCTTTTTTTCTCCTGAATGTTTCAAAGAAATGCACAATATAGTAGAGATTAATTCAAGAAAGAATGAGTGAACAAATAAAATAATTTCCCAATAATATAATTTATCCATGTCTCTCATGTATATTCTCTCCATTTTTGGTCATCATCAGATTTTTACTTTTTGTTCGTTTGCTTGATTTGAGTGCATGTGTATGGATGCAGGGTCTCATGTATCCTAGACCAGCCTCAAACTTTCTAGGTAGCCACCTCCTGCCTCCACCTCCCAAGTGCTGGTTACACAAGTCT